TACACACACACATTTAGAGTGCAGACACTCGGGCATTCTGTGTTTATTTACCCCAATTAAACAGCAAACGTAAAGATAATCTTATTACAAGCACTGTTAATAATCAGTATCTCCACCCGACTCCTCTCCTGACACAAGTCAGACACTGACCCAGGCTAAACTCACAGGTACTCTTCCATCTCATTCGAAGGCAGCTAACAGGCCAAGGCAAGGCTAAAATCTGGCAGTACTTACCATCTCCGACGTGGCTCATTCTTCGCCGGGCCTTGTGCCCTGTGTTATAAGCTCATGTTTGCTCACCTGGTGGCCCTAGGAGCTCAGGTGCCCACAGATGTTGTATCAAGATTCAACATGTTGGAAACTTAGTGTTTCTCTCCAAGTCATCACCTCTGTAATGGGAGAGGGATGAGGGACACCCCTCTGCCTTGCTCTCTGATGCAAATGGAAGACTTCTCAGTTTAGGTTTCTGTATTTCTTCCCTCTCTTGCTTCCTGTTCCTTATCGGCACTGGTCATTCAGGGTGCTGCTCTCGTCTGTGTCGGGTGCTGCCCTCATTTGTTTGCTTGGCAAGTCAGCGTGCAGGTGGCTGGGGCTTGTGATGAACAGAGCGCCCCAAGCCTGTGTCTCCGGAGTCTGGCTTTTCCTGTCTGGGCCGTGCTAGCTGATTTTCAGAATGTGGCTATGTCACTGTCTTCAGGCTCTTCACATACGATGTTCCATTTTTTCTTCCTCTTTTGCTTCATTAACTCTTCTTCACGCTTTATGGCAAGACTTCACTTATCACTCATTAGAAATATTTATTGATCACTAAGTGCTAGACTGAGCTAGGAGCAAGGGAGTGTGAGGTAAGCACTTTCCCCACTCCCACCTCCAAACAATAACAAAAATACATTCCCAGACACGCACACACGTGATGGCATGTCTGCTCGGTTACTGGCCTGCAGTGTGAAAGTGGATGACTCTGAAGTTCAGCTGTGGTGGAAGTAATTGAGTAAGCTGGACAGTGAGATCTGGTGAGAAAGCTGTAGCCCGAGGTGGACACTGAACTGGAGCATTCCGGGCAGCAAGTCTGGAGCAGCCCCATGGGGGTGACAACGCGGTGAAGCTGAGGAGTAGCTCCCTGGAGTTGAGTGGTGTGGGGATCGAGAGCTGAGGGGTCCCCTGTGGACACAGGATGATGGTGAGACTCTGGAGCAGTGAGAGAACCACAGAGAGGTAGGCACAGAGCCCGGTGGCAAGGTCCAGAGATGAGAGGATGAGCGGGAGGCTGGCATGTGGCAGTGACTAGGAGGGAGCAGGGTGGAGCTGACAGTGCCGAGCCTAGAGCAGCAGGAGTTTCACAGAAGAGCAGACGGTGACAGTCTGTTGGGGCAGTGAGCAGCCAGGAGGGCGTCAGCACTGACGTGGCACCTCGCTCGCGGAAGCCCTGAGCACAGTCGTTTGTGTGAGTTGTGTAACGTTGGTTACCGCCAGACTGTGGGTCTTGGGTGGACAGGGACAGTGTGCATTGTGCATCTCTGAGGCCCCAGCACTAAATTCTGTGTGACAGCCCACCCATGTGCGTGTGTATCTGGGTGAGTGTGATTTTTAAGTGAGAAAACACACAAGCTAATTATGGTTCATACACAAAGTAGACTGAAATGCCAATGACAGCACTCTAGATTTTGATGCCTCATGCGGCATTTCCAATCCATAGACACAGCCTTCTGTGAAATGGGACCTACCTGGCCCTTGATCCTTCCTCTGCTAATGCTTTGTATTTGTCTTGTAGAGCTGTTCTGTCATGAACGTCACCCTGTTAGATGAGTTCGGGAAGCCCTTTTGGTGTTTCAGTTCCCCAGTGGGCCTGAGACCTGCTCCCAGCCGGCCTGACTGCCCGAACTCCCTAGGACAGAGGTACTACGTGGACTATGCGGACGTTGAGGGGCGAGTGCACATGGAGCTGATGTGGTTCGCCAAGTTCGAGGAGTACTTCGTGGTCAGCCTGGAGGTTTACTTGCACTTCACAAAGATAAACCACTGGTTCGGGACCCATTACCAAGGCTAGCAGTAGGTGGCCAAGTTCACCGCCGTTTCGCTGTTCATTTTGGACTCACCAGCTTTGTTCTTGGTGTTAACAAGTTACAATAAAGCCTGTCCACATGGATGTGTAGTGCCTTCTTACTGCACAGTAGAGTGTGAGTCCTGGGTCATTTTTGAGTTAACGTTTTTGGGATTATTGCCCATATAGGGTTTTTTGTTTTTGTTTTTTAAATTAAGGAACCCAAATGACAAGACATTTAAATTAGAAGCTTCATGGTATCCCTTAGAATAAGAAAGTGCTACATTTGTGACCTTCAGCAACCACATTAACATTTAGTAAAACAATTTACAGGAAAAGCGTCAGAAGGAAGTTGTAACTTGGAAGAGCAGGGTCTGGTGCCAATGCAGTGAAGGCATCCAGCCCCACACGAGCAGAGCCGTGCCTCTGCAGAGATACTGGACGAGAACTGAGGGCTTCAGCAGGGGTGACATGCACCTCAGCACACGTAACTTGAAGGCCTCGGCCCTACCTGTTTTAACTGAGCTTACTACATTTTGACTGTGTTTTCTTATCTCCCACTGAGAACCTATTCTCAGAAGTGTTATTTGGCTCTGTGTCATGGCCCCTGCTCAGGCAAGTGTGACAAGCTCCCCACCCGGGTCTCACACTTCTGTTGCGGCATCTGACCACTTTTCTCCTCGGAGCTGTGTGTACGAGAGTGAGGGTGTGCGAGTGTAGGATAGAGTTTGAAGTAAAGATTTGGAATAGACTCTCGGGTGTCGCTCAGGTAACAGAGTGGAAACATTTCCTGATGGGACACGGGACACCGTCCTCTTTGGCTTTGGCCCATAGCCCGCAGGGAGGAAGAGTTGAAATCCGTATTCGTACAGAAAGCACTGGCACCTCTGCTGCCTGTTACTACGAGAGGCCCTGGGGAGTCCCTGAGGGAGGGTTGGGCGTCGAGGCCTTGGCGTGAGCAGAGACCAGAGGGCAAGGGATGGGCATCTCTATAGGACTGAATGCGAAATCGCCCACAAGGCACTCTGTGGAGGCTCCCTGGGCTGGCCCAGGGTACAGTTTCTGCTGAATGCACATCACTTTTGCGCCATCATAAAGTCAAAAAATCTGAAGCCAAGCCATGGTAAGTTGGGTACCATCTGCATATGCGAATGCCTGCCTTTCCTGCCAGGCTGCATGTCTTAGAGCAGACAGTGTGATTTTGGTTTGTTACCATCTCCCTAGCACCCAACTGAATGCCAGGCTCATAACTGGTAACCAGTGGCCATTTGTGGAATCCGTGGAATATGCCAGCAGTTATGGGGGCATGGAGGAGGCAGGAGTAAACTCTGACTCAGTCTGGGAGCTCTTTACATCACAGGTGGCCTCTGGGTTCACTTTGGAAGGGAAGCTACTGGGAAGGAAGAGGAGGGCAGGTGAGGCAGAGGAAATGGCATTCCCGAAGCCTGGCCTCTGCATCTCACTGAGGCAAGGGCCCCCAACGCATGTGGCGCGTGGTGCATGGAGACTTGGCCCACCTCCACGTGCCTTTCTATGTGCATGAGATCACAGCTTCTTAAGATGACTTCTCATGCTTACCTCCACGCTTCTGGATATACCTGAACAGATCCAATGACCTTCACTCTCTTCTCTTCCCGGGGCTTTTCATTCCTGGAGTTCTGCCTCTGGCTTTAAACCGCTCGCTCTCCACCTGACCGTGCCAGCTGTTCTCCGTTTCCTGTGGGATTCCTAGAGAAGCCTGTCTTCCTCATTCTTGGTTTGTATGTTTTCTTTTTCCCCACAGGAAAATTCTCCTGTGGCCTTCAAAGAGAAGTAACATGGGAACTATATGTTGAACGCACCAATTTCTGAAAATGTCTGATAGGTAGTTTTTAATTGGTTACCAAATGATAGAAAGAAAAAATAGTTTCTCTTGGAACATGGAAGACATTTTCCCTCTAATATTTATCATTTGAGCAGTGTTGATATATGAGGGGACTTTGGAAAGTTCATAGAAAAATGGAACTAAAAATAAGAATTTATTTTGGTGCAAAAAATTTGAAATTCATAGTTTTCTTATAATATGCATTTTCCATGAACTTATTGAAGATGCCATATATTTAATGCCTCTTTGTCTCGTCCCTTTGTGATTTCTCATTTTTTGCTCTCTCTGAAAGAGTCTGCAGTCTACTTTTCTCTTTTAGTATTTGACATTTTAAGCTGATATGCTGTGGAATAAGTACAGTGTTTGCATTCACTATGGGTCATTTTAATCTAAAAAGTTAAGCATTTCCATGCTGGACTTTTTTTTTAAATTTGGAAATATTTTCTATGTTGTCTTTTTCTGTAACTTTTATTAATAAATGTTAATACTTTCTGAATTAATCCTTTTAAGTCTCTTTTCCATCTTATTTTTTTTCTTTCAGTCTTTTGTTCTGCTTTCTAGAATACTGCCTTAATTTTATTTTGCAATCCTTCTATTGCACATTTTCACATTCATGACCAGGTTTTTACTCTGTAAATACAGTCATTTTTTTCTTGTTCCTTATAAAGCAGCTGTGTCCATTTTATAAATGTAGTGTTTTCTCTAAAGCTGATGGTGGCGAACTGTTTCTATGAAGGGCCGCGTGATAGTTTAGGCTGACGAGGCACGTGGCGTCTGTGGCAGCCCCAGCTGTGCTACAGGCGGGAAAGCACCGTAGGTGATACACAGACGGAGGGGCACAGCCGTGTTTCCAGAAACGTCATTTTCAAAACCAGGCAGCAACTGAATTTGGCCCACAGGCTGCAGTTGGCCAACTCTGCACCAGTCTTAGATGATCAGTTTCAGTTTCCAAAAGAGTTTCATCTGAACTATTTGGAAAAGTCATAGTACTAATAGTTTTAGGGAAGAATAACCTATGGATGCTAAAATTTGTTAGTGAAAGTATGAGGAGAATTAAGGTCTTGACATAGTTTTAGAGATTCAAGCCACAGGACACTTGTTCATGAAAGAGGAGAGCATGGGCAGCTCCCAGTGAAGGAAGCTGACAAGACATCCCCCTTACCTGTTAGCAGCATCAAGAATGGATGAATGTTGCTTCCTGTCACACCATGAGGAAAACACATTTCTTGCATTTTACCTAAAACAGAGAACCTGGGAAGTTGTAACTTGGAAGAGCAGGGTCTGGTGCCAATGCAGTGAAGGCATCCCCACACGAGCAGAGCCGTGCCTCTGCAGAGATACTGGACGAGAACTGAGGGCTTCAGCAGGGGTGACATGCACCTCAGCACACGTAACTTGAAGGCCTCGGCCCTACCTGTTTTAACTGAGCTTACTACATTTTGACTGTGTTTTCTTATCTCCCACTGAGAACCTATTCTCAGAAGTGTTATTTGGCTCTGTGTCATGGCCCCTGCTCAGGCAAGTGTGACAAGCTCCCCACCCGGGTCTCACACTTCTGTTGCGGCATCTGACCACTTTTCTCCTCGGAGCTGTGTGTACGAGAGTGAGGGTGTGCGAGTGTAGGATAGAGTTTGAAGTAAAGATTTGGAATAGACTCTCGGGTGTCGCTCAGGTAACAGAGTGGAAACATTTCCTGATGGGACACGGGACACCGTCCTCTTTGGCTTTGGCCCATAGCCCGCAGGGAGGAAGAGTTGAAATCCGTATTCGTACAGAAAGCACTGGCACCTCTGCTGCCTGTTACTACGAGAGGCCCTGGGGAGTCCCTGAGGGAGGGTTGGGCGTCGAGGCCTTGGCGTGAGCAGAGACCAGAGGGCAAGGGATGGGCATCTCTATAGGACTGAATGCGAAATCGCCCACAAGGCACTCTGTGGAGGCTCCCTGGGCTGGCCCAGGGTACAGTTTCTGCTGAATGCACATCACTTTTGCGCCATCATAAAGTCAAAAAATCTGAAGCCAAGCCATGGTAAGTTGGGTACCATCTGCATATGCGAATGCCTGCCTTTCCTGCCAGGCTGCATGTCTTAGAGCAGACAGTGTGATTTTGGTTTGTTACCATCTCCCTAGCACCCAACTGAATGCCAGGCTCATAACTGGTAACCAGTGGCCATTTGTGGAATCCGTGGAATATGCCAGCAGTTATGGGGGCATGGAGGAGGCAGGAGTAAACTCTGACTCAGTCTGGGAGCTCTTTACATCACAGGTGGCCTCTGGGTTCACTTTGGAAGGGAAGCTACTGGGAAGGAAGAGGAGGGCAGGTGAGGCAGAGGAAATGGCATTCCCGAAGCCTGGCCTCTGCATCTCACTGAGGCAAGGGCCCCCAACGCATGTGGCGCGTGGTGCATGGAGACTTGGCCCACCTCCACGTGCCTTTCTATGTGCATGAGATCACAGCTTCTTAAGATGACTTCTCATGCTTACCTCCACGCTTCTGGATATACCTGAACAGATCCAATGACCTTCACTCTCTTCTCTTCCCGGGGCTTTTCATTCCTGGAGTTCTGCCTCTGGCTTTAAACCGCTCGCTCTCCACCTGACCGTGCCAGCTGTTCTCCGTTTCCTGTGGGATTCCTAGAGAAGCCTGTCTTCCTCATTCTTGGTTTGTATGTTTTCTTTTTCCCCACAGGAAAATTCTCCCGTGGCCTTCAAAGAGAAGTAACATGGGAACTATATGTTGAACGCACCAATTTCTGAAAATGTCTGATAGGTAGTTTTTAATTGGTTACCAAATGATAGAAAGAAAAAATAGTTTCTCTTGGAACATGGAAGACATTTTCCCTCTAATATTTATCATTTGAGCAGTGTTGATATATGAGGGGACTTTGGAAAGTTCATAGAAAAATGGAACTAAAAATAAGAATTTATTTTGGTGCAAAAAATTTGAAATTCATAGTTTTCTTATAATATGCATTTTCCATGAACTTATTGAAGATGCCATATATTTAATGCCTCTTTGTCTCGTCCCTTTGTGATTTCTCATTTTTTGCTCTCTCTGAAAGAGTCTGCAGTCTACTTTTCTCTTTTAGTATTTGACATTTTAAGCTGATATGCTGTGGAATAAGTACAGTGTTTGCATTCACTATGGGTCATTTTAATCTAAAAAGTTAAGCATTTCCATGCTGGACTTTTTTTTTAAATTTGGAAATATTTTCTATGTTGTCTTTTTCTGTAACTTTTATTA